CCCAGCAAATCCCCGAAACAACTGAACGCAGGCATCCTGGAACTTGGCTTGAGACAGCTCACGAGCCTCTTGACGGGCACGTTTGGCTTTCTGCGATGTACTATTGGCCTGGGGAAGAACGCTCGGCCGTGAAACCTGAGGGAGCTTGTGTGGTACGTGTAAAGCCCTAGTGAGAAGTTGTACCCCTTCGCTCCTCAGAGACAGACTGATCCCACAGCGCGTGCCCCAAGGAACGTCTAAAACCGCTTCCACTTGCTCTACGTACGGACATGCTGCCCTGCTGACCAAAACGAAATCAATGTGAGAACTACCTGAGCCTGCGACGCACGTGCTCTCGACCGCTGACTGAAAGACCACACCCTGCACTCGTTCAATGAAGCCGCTCTTGGCCAGAACAGCTGGTGAAACATTAAAGTCGCCAATTATAATCCAGGGGAGCTGGGGGGCCCTCACAAAGGCTCCTAGACGAACAAGCCTCTGTGCCCCCTCACCAGCCATGCCCCCCACATATGCCATAGTATACTATGATGACGACGGTATGCCCTCTGAGATGAACGGTTACAGGGAGGAATCTGTCAAAAGCTTCTATGTCAACAGCACAGAGAGGACTGAAATCGCTTGGCTCTCCTATTTTGTGCACAGCAAGATGACCTCTAGAAAAGAATGCTTCCCCTCCTTCATTCGAGCGCGCGCTGAAACCATCCTGCTTAGGTCCAGCTGCGTTAAAAAGTGACTTGAGTTTGGACTTGCGACTCTGCTTGGCCCAGTGGGCCTCACGACTAGCGGAAACATGGCTCTCGGCGATGGCTAAATAATCATACTTCGCTTGGATGGCCTCTGAGGTGAGAAACTGCCAAGCACGTGGACCTAGGCAGGTCACATTCCCGAAAAGCAAATGCGAAAGCTGAGAGGCCTCGTCACACGGGCGCTCGTGATCGCTGACCACGGCTCTTCCCGTGTGGGGCTCAGAAGACGCGAACGCCGAACTCCCTGATGACGCCTGACCCTGCGCGGCTCGAGGCTGGCCGTCAGGCTCGGCCAGCCTGCCCCTGCCTCACGCAGTGGTGGAGCCCTGGCTGCCCGATGTCTCCATGTACGCCTGCTTGGCCTTGAACTTGGCATCCGAGAGCTTGGCCGCTGCTGCCGCCAGGTCTGGTTTCTCCTGAGCCTCCTTGCCGCATGCCGCCGCCGCCCCCGCCGATGTTGCCACCCCGCCTGAGGTGCCACTCCCGCCGCCGCCACCTGCGGCCGCCTCACCGCCGCCTGCCGCCTCGGAGCCGCCACCTGGGGTAGCTCCTTGCGTAGCACGACGTTTCTTGGCCAGCCGCTCGGTGATGGCCTTCTGCATCTCCTCGTACTTGGTACGCCACTCGTTGACCTTCGAGCCGCGCTCTTGCAACTTCTCACGTGCATCTTTCAGATCTCGCTCCAGTGCTAGCAATTGCTCTCGCTCCTGCGGTTCGCACTCGTAGTCGTCTAGCTTGGCGAAGAACTCTTCGTCCCACTGTACCGTCCATTGATTGCTACTACCTCCAGCGACCTTGCCGTCAGAGCCTGGCTGGCCGTCGAAGACTGCGCCCGTATCGACCGCGAGTGCCTTGGCCGCCAAGCGCCTGCCGATCTCTGCCGTCGCCAGCTCTAGTGCGAGCTCCTGCTCCTTGGCCTCTGCCCTGGACAGCTGCTCGCGGAGGCGCATCACGTTGCTGATCGCTTGGTCGTGTCTCATGTTCACATCCTTCCATATGCCCTCGGCCTTCTTGACAGAGTCCGTCGCAGACAGGGCGGGAGATGAGGCCGCAGCAGCGGCCGTCTTGTCGACCTCCTCGAGCTGCTCTAGCAAACTCTTCTTGGTGGCCTGATCCTTGGTGTTGCCTATCATGCGCAACAGCATGGTTCGAACCTCGGCTGCAGCGCCTGCAGACACTGTGTCCGCCGCGCCAGCCTGTCCCTTGCCGCCTGCACCTTTGCCACCAGCACCACTCCCGCCAACAGCCAGTTGAAGTGTGTTGGTGCTGCCGCCGTCCTTCTTCTTCTTCGGCGTGTATATTTGACAAAACGATGGCATCGGCTGCACTGGCAACCTCGGCTCTCTAAGATGTCGTTCCATTCCGACGTCGCGCAGCCCTTGCACGTCGTCCAGAGCCTGGCGCCTGCGCCGCCACCCGCCATCATCTAGAGAGGTGATCACCCCGCTTCGCTGCACGAGTCTACTAACGAAGGGATGTAAGGGGATCGTGCACCCCTCAAGCGCCAACGTGGAGGCGCGGGGATCTGTCTCAGGATCGCGACAAAATGAGGCGCCTGAGCCAGAGTGGATTGAGAGAGGAGGAGGAGGAAGTAGAGGAGGAGGAAGTAGAGGAGAGGGGGGAGAAGGAGGAGGAGGAGAAGGCGGAGGAATTAGAGGAAGAGGGGAGAGACGAGAAAGAGGATGATCATGAGGAGGAGACAGAGGAGGAGGAAAAGAGGGAGGAGGAGAAAGAGGAGGATGCCCCGCTTCATGCTAGCCCCACCACTCACCTGAGACATATTTGCGCCTTTGGGTCCCGAAACGCCCTGAGATGGCCTCAACTGGTGTTGTCCGGTCGCTCCCGCTCAGGAACTCCTCACCCATTCCGACTTGGCGGTGGCCCACCCCGTGTCCACGCGCACGCACGCCGTTTGCATTGGAAATTACAAAGAACAAGGTGCATGGCGCATATACTTCTATGTATGCGGTCTCCCGTAGTTCTTTGTTCCCATGCGTGCTGCGAGTTCCCTATCAACTCGCCTGGGCAACGTTTCTTGATGGGCTGGGAAGGATGCGCGAACGTCAAGAGTATTTGCTGAATCGGCCATGTCAGCTTTCTGTGCGCGTGCCCGCTGACATTGAGTTTTGTATTGCTTACCATGCTGCCGAATGAGACCATACAAGCCACATCCGCGCGCATGTCGGATCATCGCGCACCCGCCAATTCTGCAAAGTGATCCCATGCAGGTCGCACGCGCGCGTCTCTGCGCGCGCATACCACAAGCATCACCCGCACCATCATCTTCATCACTGGCATCACCAAGACCATCAAAGTTATCATCATCATATTTAACAGCGTCATCACCACCACCATCATCATCATCATCATTATTATTATCATCATCGTCGTTGTCACTATCGTCGTTGCCGCCGCCGTCGCCACCCGCTCCACCACCACCGCCACCAGCAACATCATCATCATCATCATCAGCATCATCATCATCATCATCATCATCATCGCCACAACCACCATCATCATCATCACCACCATTACATCATCAGCATCAGCATCATCATCATCTTCATCATCATCGTCGTCAGCGTCGCCGTCCCCGGTGTCGTCGTCACCATCATCCCTTGCCCGCCCAAGTCATGACACTGCATGAGAAGGGTCCTCGCGTCTAGTGCGAACTAGATTTTGCGAACAAGCTGCGGGTGGGTGGATGGGTGGGCGGGATGTTTGCTCAAGCCTTGGAGTTGATGACTACAATGACTACAACATATTCAAAACTGACTGCGTAACCTCAAGAAGCCATTAAGAAGTCCCCCGGAGTTATCATTAGCACAAGATAATTCTGGGGGGCGGTTTTCGCCGAAAGATATCAATAGCCCCGCGCAACTGGATCGAGCATAGATAATTCCCGCGCCCTGGCTCGGGTTGCATCCCAATTGGAATTGTAATAATAATAAAAATAAAAGTGACATGCGAGTAATAAGAATAATATTAAGAATAATAATACCAAGAATAAGAGTAAGGGTCATAATGCAGATAATAAGAATACGAATGATAATAAGGAAAACAGTAATACGAAGAAACCGAAAACAAACGGGTTCCGCTGCTTCTTTTCTGCCTCCCTTCTTTTTTTCTCGTTATCTTCATCATCCTTCTCCTGTACGGCCCTTTTTTTTACCAACCCTATTGAAGCAGTGCTTTTATTTCTAAGCCATCGTGCGGGGTGGTCCATCCGAGGATATCGCCCCCGCCCCGCACGAAGCGTTATCTTAGCACCGCGCCCGCACAAAACAATTACGACAACTTGTCCAACAAGACAAAACGTAAAATACGCTCACGGAAAAAAATAACAACGCCACTATTATCTAAAATGATCATACGAATACGATTTATGATACAAAAATAGGAAAGTAATCGTGTTACGAAGAAGAGTAGTAAGTATACTATTGATACGACGACTAAGAATAAGAAACTGACCAATAATGATAGTATCAAGCATACGAATAATACTACGGAGCACAATAATAATAAACAGGAAACAGCTAAAGGTGCGAGGGTGCCAGGGTCACGCTTCTGGGGTGTTGGGTGCGTTATAGTTTCGTCGGAGGGGGGGGGGGTCTGAATTGCTTGTTGAGGTTACATGTGAGTGTTTGGGGTCCACGGTATAATATGTTTGAAGGGGGATGGGGAGAGTGGTGAAGAGGCCGATCGCGTGGGATCCCATCCTGAGGGAGCCAATTGTGAGGGAGCTTATCGCGTGGGATCCTATGGTGTGGGACTCTATCGTGTGGAACCCTGGCATGTGGGACCCTACCTTATGGGCCCTTATCGTGTAGGACCCTATCACGAAGGTGCCTTATTGTGTAGGACGCGATCGTGTCGGACCCTAGCACGTGGGAGTCTGTCGAGTGGGACTCGATCGAATGTGAAACTCACTCACGATGAGGTCCCACGGACGGGTCCCAGCGAGAATCGGGCGAGAACTGGGCAAGCCTTGGCGACAACGGCGAGGTGGAGGAGGAAACTCCCTCCGGTTCCCCTCTCCTCGCTGAAGGAGGCCTCCCTCCCCGGGAAGAGGTGAATGATGCCCCTTTATCGGCTGCCCTCGTGGACCCGAGACGGTGCGGCCCCCTCTCGTCCCTCGCCTCCTCCCGGGCCTCCTCCGTCTGCTGCTGCTCCTGCCGCCTTGACCTCCTCCTTCTCCTTCACCTCTCCGCTGGTCCCTGCCCCTGCTCTGCTGCCACTGGTGGTGCCCCTGACATCCTCGGAATCCACGAAGGAGTGGCTGGCGTGGTCGAGGGCGCCGACGACGCCGAGGATCGCTGGGATCTGCACGGCGCCCGGCCTGTCCAGGCTGAATCTGCTGAGGACCCAGGCGAAGAGGTCCAGGTCGAAGAACCTTGCTTTCCCCATCTCAGCGTTCATTCGGGAGGAGGAGGAGGAGGAACGCACGTAGCATGGGGGCAACGTTTGGCTTCTTATCGACTGGTGCCGATGGCCAGCCTGCCAGCCCTCAACAGGGCTCAGATGGGCCGTAAGATCGCCGAAACGGGTGGGCGAGGCTTCATGCTCAGCCTTCGGTTTATGGCCGAGAAGGGCGGCGATGTCATCCAAATGATGGGCATCACAATCCGAAAACCCAGAACCGCGGTCATCCTCAGAGCCGATGCCGAGACGGGCGAGAGGGCAGGAGGGAGAGGAGGAGGCGGAGCGTGAAGGAAGGAGTTGAGATCCTAGCCACTCTACCCTTCCTCCCTTCCCAGCCGCGCCTGCTCCACGATGGAGTCGAGGGAGGCTCGGCACAACAAATGCCTCTGACGCCTCCGCGTTGGGAGACGCGTGGCCAACCTCACGGCGTCTATCAAGTGGTCGGCTTGGGAGAGGGACGATGGAAGCGAACTCTGATGGGACGCTAAACGATGTGTGTGATAACACGCAACAGCAAAGGCCAGGGAACCGCCTCGCAGACCAAGGAGGAAGAGAGGGTCCCCTGGGAGAAATGAGCGCAGAGCCATGGAGGCGACATACTGTAACCTGCGGCAACTACATGTGTAGTGACTAACGTTATCTGGAGCATCGCACCCGAAGAAGCACTGAGCATCAAGCCAGGCCATCCTGCAACTTGTGACCCATGACCCAAGCCATGATCTGAGAGCAATCTGGGACCACGCGGGGGGGGGGCAACTGCAGCAGCTCCATCGTGGCATCCTCTGTCCCTTCCCAGTCGAAGGAGGGAGCGAAGTGACGACGGACACGAACGAGGATGCGAGCGGGGAGGGAGGGGGTCGGGTACAGGGTAGCCTGGAAACAAAGCTTAAACATCCCCTCCCACCGCGGTCTCCTTCTCGCTTCTCGAACCGTGGGGTCCCGAAACACATGCAGGGCAGCCGCTCCGCCCTGAGTCAGAGCGCGTTGGAGGAGGCGAGGAGGAGAAATCGAAGGAGGGAGGACGAGGAGGAAAACCCAGGGAGGCCCACTCAAGGGTGCTAGCGATAGCCTCGGACTGCCAGAACTCGGGGGCGTGCCCCGGAGACTGCCACCATGCTGGAGGAGGAGGAGACGAGGAAGAGGAGGAGGAGGAGGAGGAGGAGGAGGAGGAGGAGGAGGAGGAGGCGAAACACCTGGTCGCGGTGAAGGCCCCGAGCAAGTCCGCGAGCCCCTGCCTTGAGATCGGCGCGCCTGTGCCCGCGAGCTGTACCGTGCGCGCGGCGAGCGAGAACAGCTGCGCCGAGGCCTCCCGCAAGCGGGCGCACGACACCGTGGCCGAGGCGAGCAGCTGCGCGTGCTTTGGCCCCCTCCAGTCCTGTGCTCGAGGTACAAGGTACAAACATATGACATGAACGTAAACCGTTGGGCCCGCGCCGATCCAATACCTCCGCGCTTTTTATGCTTGTGTCATTGTCTGGTCCTCCCGTGCGAGCCCTGCGAAGTGTTGCACTCGACCCTGGAGGAGGGAGGTCTTCGGGCACGTTTGTCGGACTCTTTTTTGGCGTTTCTGGCCCCCCTCGGGCCCTCGGGCCTCGGAGGGCCTCCAGAAGCCTCCAAGGACCTCAGAGGGTCAGCACCTGGGGCGGAGGCTAAACTTGCCAGGGAGGGCCTCCTTGCCCCCCCCCAGCTCCTCTCGCCTCAGGAGGCGACTCCTGGGAGATCTTCTTCACTGTTAAGGGCTCCTTAGTTAGATGAAGGGGGCGATTGAGCCAAGTCAGGCCAGATTGAGCCTGGGACCCAGCCGGCTAAAACGGGATTTGGCCAAATAAAAAGGATGAAGCCGGATGAAGCGGGATTCAGCGAGATAGGGCAATTTTTGACCAGGGAACTACGAGCGCCGATTCTGAATTTATCTTGAAAGGTAGTCGCCCTCACCCCTCCTCGCCCCTCCAGTCCAGCGCGAGGGCCTGCTTCACAATCGCGGGCACCACTGTGCCGGCAAGGGGCACGGCCACGTCCTGCGTCGGAGACCCGACGCCGTGCACCGCGGCCAGCGCGTGGAGGATATTAACGCAGTGCTGCGGCTCGAAGGACAGGCTGCCACGAGCCAGCTGCACCTCAGCGACCCCGAACCTCCTCGCGTCGTGAAAAAAACGCGACGGGACGTCGTTCGTCATGTTCTGCCTCTGAGAGCCCTCGCAAGGCCCTGGGAACGTCAAAAAACGACTCAGGATGAAACGCCGGTCCTGGGGAATAGGTCGAGACCTCTAGGGGTTGACGCTATGAAAGAACGGATCACGCCGGGGGTCTGGGAAGGCATCTCGGTTCGCCTTCAGTGGCTGGCCCCTCGACAGAATCGACTGACGGCGGGCCCCCAACCGCCACTCTCAGAGAGTGCCTCCTCCACTTCCTCCTCCTCCTCCGCCTCCTCCTCCCCCTCCTCCCCCTCCTCCTCCGCCCACCTGCAGCGAGCCCAGGAGCGCGGCGCACTCCTCCGTCTCAAGGCCCAGCCTGGCGACGGCGTACGCGCAGTTTGCCACGTGCTGGGGCGACAGCGCGGTGACGTCCCGTTGCAGGAGCTGTGCCAATCGTCGCACCAGCTTCTCCCGGTGCAGGCCGAGGCGGCCACAGGCGTAGAAGAGCTGCACCAGGCCCTGCGGCTCGACGGTGGCGACGAGGGGCTCCAGGCGCTCGAGCAGCGGCGCGATCACGTGCTCCACGGGCTGGCCGGCGCGCGCGTAGGCGCAGAACATTACGGACAAGCTCTGGTCATCCGCGTCGCTCAAGCACTGGACCACGTGGGGCGCCAGGTCCGCAAGCATGCGGCCGTATGTGGTGTTCAGTGTGCTAAAGGCATGAAGTACCCCAGCGAACTGCCTCGCGCGGAACTCCTCTGCGCGCTCCTGCACGGCTGAAGCCAGGGCGGTGAGCGCCTGAGTTAACGCCGGCTGTCCTATTTCCAGTGCCGTGATCGCGTGCAGGGTAGCAGCCACCTCGATCGGTCCGAAACCTTGTATGGTTCGAGGAACCTGGCTCACCACAACCTCCAGCACCTCCGTGTCCTGAATCTGAAGCTTCGCGTACGCGTTCAGCACGTTCGCCAGGTGCTGCGGGCTCAGCTCTGGCAAGAGACGGCGAACGCTCGTCGCCAGGGCCTCAAACAACTTTGTATCCCTGATTTGAATTTTTGCGTAAGCGTTCATGACAGTCGCAAGTCCCTGAGGTGTGAGCTCGGGGGACCTTGCAGCAATCCAGCCGCCAAGCCGCTGGAAAAGCTTTCTGTCACTGATGTCCAGGCGGGCGTAGGCGTTCGCTACAAGCGAGAGCTGCTGCTCCCCGTAGCCGTCGGCGGGCCGAGAACAAATCTCCTTGGAGAAGTGCTCGAAGAGAACGAGGTCACGGAACTGCAACCGCGCGTATCCGTTCAGCAACAACGCCACATCCCTGGCCGGTGCGGCAAGGCGGTTGGCATAAGAGGGCCCTCAGGGTCCCGCTCCCGATGGTTAGTGGCCCACCACGGGGAGAGTGGAGGGAGGAGGATGATGAGAAGGAAGGAGGATAGAGGAGCAGCAAGAGGAGAGGTACGGGTGAGGAGGAAAAGGAGGGCGGAGGAGGAAGAGGATGAGGAGGAGGGAGGAGGAGGATGAAGAGGAGGATGCAAATTCCGGATGTAGGTTAAGAGCTGAAATCGCTCACTCGGCAGATGCAACCGATCATCTTTTTGCGACGCTTTCTGTGCCAATACACATTTCGCTGTGCAGCATGGGCTGCCCGTCTTCGAACGGCAAGCGAACAAATAGGTGTCGCGGCCCTGCCACAGGCCGATGAAGATCCTGCTGGCACCTGGTGTGCCTTTGACATTACTGTGGTTTTCACTTGGCCTCGGAACGGACCATGCGACTGCACCTCACCAGACAACACAGGCAAGCGGACGATCCGCTTTCCTGGGCCCAAGGGACCGTGCGCCAAGCGTGTGCGAGGGAGTGGCACATCGCAAGCCGCTTGCAGCGGGACCTTCGACGGGCGCCTAAATGTGCGAAGGCCTGGAAAGCCACTGATAGGACTACCAGCGTTAACAAGATGATCGAGTGGGCCACGCTCACCAAAAACAGGCAGGGCAAGCCACGCGACTGGGCAAATTTGCCTGTCCCAAAGGTGTCGGGTCCCACTTTTTGCCACGCTCCTGAAGGGCCATTGCTGCCTGAATTGGTTATCCCAACTGTGCTAATGCTCCCCGAGGCCTCGACGAGGGCCTTGTCATGCCTCGGCCCAGACAGCGGTCCTGGACTCGGGCCCATACATGTTTTCCTTTGTCTCTTCCCCGGGCCACTCGTTGAGGAAGATTTATTTCTTCTGGCACGTCGAGCAAGCAATCAACCAGCGGGACCTCCGCGTCACCGTGCTGGCAAGCCGCTCTGGTCTCCCGTACGGAGACGCGACTCATGGAAACTCTCTGGTAGGTACGAGGCTCGGCTTACTGGTGTGTGTGTGTGTGCGTGTGTGCGTGTGTGTGTGTCGGTGTGTGTGTGTGTGTGCGTCTGTGGCACGCGCTTGGCGCGGAGGACGCTCAGGTCTGAAGAATGCTCCGTGGGGGCAAGCGGCGCTCCGAGAGGGCGAGCTCGAAGAGGCGCAGCAAGACAGCCGCGAGGCTCTCCAGGCCGCCCTGTTGCTTCGCCGCCTCGGTCAAGAGCAAACTTCCCCTGAACTGGCTCGGGCTCGTGGCCGGGCTCGGGCTCGTCCCCCTTCGTTAATTGCGTCTGGGCGCCCCCCTCGGCCATGGCCCTTCAAGTACAGCGCCACGACCTTCAACTTGATTCGGTGCTGTCTCTGTCTCTCTGCCTCAATAACAGCCGTTTCAAACACAATTCCAACGTTCCCGGAACAATTCAAGCGTTCCGAAAACATATCCAGCGTTCGGACAACAATTGCAACGCTCCGGAAACAAGCCTCGCTCATACCATAAAAAATTGTGGCCCGTTCTGGAAAACGGCGTCGCCCGTTCCCGAAACATAGTTCACGCGTTCCAGAACGATGTGTGTCATTTATGTGTTGAATGCGTGTGCTGTCTTCTTTTTACCCAGCCATCCTGTGGTGTTGGGTCCTCGCTATGGAGAGACAGCGCCCTGCGTTCCTCACCCCTCCTCCCTCCTGCCACCCTCCTGCCCTTCTCCTTCTCCTCCTCCTTCTCCTCCTCCTCCTCCTCCTCCTCCTCTCCTCCTCCTCCTCCTCCTCCTCCTCCTCATCGTCGTGGACGTCGTCATAAAAATCATCATCATCATCATCATCATCATCATCATCATCATCATCATCATCATCATCATGATCATCATGATCATCATGATCATCATCATCATCATCATCATCAGCATCATCATCAGCATCATCAGCATCATCATCAGCATCATCATCATCATCCTCATCCTCATCATCCTCATCATCCTCATCATCTGTTTCTGTTTCGACGCCTTTGCGCTCAAGTCTGAGCGGGCGGAGCTGCACTCTCTGCTTTGCGGCCAAATGTCAGGCATGAGAGATGTAAGCAGAGCTTCGCTCGTACAGGTTCACGCGTGTATCACTCCAAGTATTCGGATAATTTCAGCACGACGAAGGGGCGTGTGTCTAGCGGCTTCCATGTTTCAGCAACTAGGGCTGCACTCTCGACACCCAGCATCCAGGCTGGCAAATACTTGACGGCCCACAATCAAGCCTCAAATTCTGCTGCCGTCACCGTTGCTCCGTGAGACAAGGCAAAGCTGAGCTCCGCAACCTTAGTCCACTCCTGCTGCGCGTCATGGTGCAACTGCTCAGCTCCATACAACTCCCAACCTCCGCCGGAGCCCTCCTTTGAACAACTTCCATCGAAATACGCCCTGTAGTACCGGAAAGCGTTGGCACGACTGTACTCGGTGAAGGTGTGCGCGCGTCTGCCTGCAAGCTGATCACTCTCACAGTCTAATTCCCAGAACATGTGACGACCCCATTCTGCATGCGACGTTCGAGGCTGAGCGCAGCTCACATCCATCATCCGATCTAGTTCCTTGTGGGCAATACGAAGGCGGCCCGCCTATAAAGCATGCCCGCACCGCCACACACCATTGAGCCTATTGATAACAAGTTTGCTGTCTCCCACAATCTCGAAACAAGGACCATGCCCTCCACCGTGGCGCCACTCCACGGGTTCACGCACAACGTTCCGAGGACGTTTGAGCGGCGGCCCCTGGATATCAGACAGCGTTGGCGCGGACGACCGGGAAGCGTACCTTTCTTCCAGAAGGCGCTGGTTTAAGGTGCCGTAGACCCGCTGCCAGAAAACGCCCCGTGCTTGATCCCACTGTTGGGTGCCAGCTGCGTTCTTCCACTCGTCGCCACAAACTGTCACGAAAATGTTTTCCCACTGCGCGTGCGTGCCTGATCGAGAATGCCTCCAGTCGTTGCTGTTGTACGCGAAGGTCTTGCCCACTGCCTGTGTCCAGACCCACCAAATACGACCTCGCCAAAGTATGCACGCTGGAACAAAACATTGGGACGCCATTCGCAGTGGCACCTCTGGAACAGGGTGCCCACAGCAGAGGCGCGTAAAGTCATCCACGTCGGTGCCGTTCGCGCCAGCGTGGCGGGCCTCGACGCGTAGCCTTGCAAAACTGACGCCCGCAGCCTATGAAGAGTATCCAGTGTACCTTGATGGTAGACTCGTGTGGCCGTAGCTGTGGAAGAGATTCCTCGACGTGCGCGTGGACAGCGGCAGATGGGTGGCAGAACCTTCCTGCGGCCGCCTTTTTCACATTGACAATCTGACGGAAATAACGATTTTCCCATCGGGTCAGTTCGTCGTGTAGCCCTCGAGCCCACGCCCATCATCATCATCCTCATCCTCATCCTCATCATCATCATTACCAGCAGCATTCTCATCATCAGCTCCATCATCATTCTCATCCTCCTCATCATCACCACCACTATGGTCAGCATCACCACATACACAACCAACACCATCACCATCATCATCATCAACATCATCATCATCACCATCATCATCATCATCATCATCATCATCATGCTCATCATCATGCCCGCACGATGGTTTCTCCGAGGCCTGTCCCGGAATGCGTTCGAGACGAAAAAGGCAGCACTGTGTGCTCCTGGGGGCCACGGCAGCGGAAAGAACATTATCTGAATTCCGAGCTGCCGAAGGGCCTCTCGGACACGGCGAAGCAGCGCAGCTGAAGACAGGGATGGGAGGGCGGGGCTCGAGAGCCGAAGGCTACGGAAAGCAAGCTTTCGGCCTCTCCCTCTCCCTCGAAAGGCATTCAACTTCAATAGAAAAGACCATGCCCGCACGGTGGTTTCTCCGAGGCCAGTCTCGGAATGCGTTCAAATCTAAAAAGCAGCACCGCGTGCGACTGGGGGCCACGGCAGCGGAAAAACATCATTTGAATTCCGAGCTGCCGAAGGGCCCCTCGGCCAAACCACCCCGAACACTCCGGAGGGCCACTCATCTGGGATTAGCAGCCTAACCAGACAGGCGCAGCTGACAGAGCTCGAGACTGTAAACAAGCGCTGACGAAACTGCAGGCCCAGCGGGGCGCGAGTGGCTTGGGATAAGGTTGCGCCACCAAAGTCCACTAGGGCCTCCCGGGAGCACGCCCTTTTAAAATATGATGTGGCTTGCCTGTTGTGCTACAACAAGTTCGCGAGCCCGAACGCTGGCGAGCGAACGCTGAGACATCTACGCGGAACCCGAAAAAACCCGTCGGCTTCTTCCAAGGGGTTGCGTCCCGACAATAGTGCGTGACTGCCCAAAATACGCGGGGCTGCTTCCGAAGACGCTGGAGCGAAGGAACGTGCCAGAGACGCGACATAGCTGGATTCTGAATTGTGAACGGGATCTGCATGCGCCTACAACCAGCCTGGAGCCCCTCGCATAATTTCACAAGCTTGTAGGCCATATCAATCAGAGCCCTGTCTACAGGGTACCTCACTGCGGCCAGACCCCAGATTCCAGTGTCGGACCTCAGGCGACTCGGCCAAGACCCCTCTTCACCTGGAGATCTCAGCGGCCCCGTGCCCCTGATCCTCGCCCAGGTCTGGCACGGGGCACCGAAGTGCATGCCCCAGATCAGACCGGCATCCAGCCACCCTCGCAGCAGCCTCGCCACCTTGGGAACGGCGAGGTCCCAGTCGGGCACCCAGGCGATGTCCCACTCGATCACCGGGGCGCCCTCGCGCCGCAGGGCGGCGGCCAAGATGCCTTCGCCCGAAAACGCCTCCACGAAGACAGGAGGCGCCAGGAAACGCCGGCGGCGAGGGCCCCGCAGCTTCCTCAGCGCCAGCTGAAGAAGGAGGCCGGCCGAGCGGGGGCCCGCAGGGCCGCGCGTTGCACCGCAGAATGCACTTTCTGCATCTGCTCACGCGGCCTGGCACGAGGCACCTGGCGACTGAGGCGACGGACCTCCAGCGCCCTGGCAGCCTCCCGCTGGCCAGGGTCCGCAGCTTGAGGGCCAGCGCGACGGACGGGCCCGAGTGCGCGAGCTGGCACAGCTCGGACGGGCGCAGGTATAGGGAACGAGAAGCCGACATAAACATAATAGGCGCGCAATTTCCGAATGGGCGCCCACCTCTGCGCGCGGGCTGGCGCGCGAACCTATTTGATCGGGGCGTGCAGACAGATGCGCCCGAGTCGCCCAACTCGAACACGCGCCCGCTTCCAAGGCGTCCGCGAATTCGAGGCGACAATCTCCAGGGGCCGCCAGGCGTCGAAAAACATACCCGGAGGGCGAGCGGAAAAACCGAAAGTCCTCGCCGGCGGGTTTCCCAGAACAGATCTCACTTTTCTTGATGTCATTCGGACGGTTCGAGCGGCAACGCGATTTGGAGTTATGTAAATCCCACGTGCTCTGTGTTTTATGTCAATCAAAAGTTTTATGTCGCCCCAGGACACCCAATGCCATAAAAGAAACCAAGGGCCCTGCTCCACGCACCTTAAAAACACCATCGCGGATAGGTTGGCGCTTGATTTTTGGCGCGGCAATGACGCAGGTGAGCTACGGCAACAACTGCTCGCCCTATACAAGCCGTTTGCCTTCGCGGGCTACCTGGTAGCCCGCGAAGACCACCCGCGCGTGGATCGCCGCGAGCGCCTGGCCCACGTCGATCAGCCGCGCTGCGACGAGGGCGACGACCTGCAGCGCCTTCGGCAGCCCCAGCCCCCCGCGAACGAACTGCGGCATCATGGGCTTCAGCGCCGCCAGCATGTGCGCGCCCCGCTCGGGGTGCCAGCCTTGGGCATGCTGCTGGTCCCTCCGCTGCGCCAGCAGGTCGTCGGCCGTCTCGGTGCTCGGCGCAAACGACGCGGTCGCCAGCCACGACGTGAACTCTTCCCACAGGTGCATGTTTTTCGTCCTCGTGGCGACCTTCCCCGAGAGGGCTCTCAGCACGTGGCCCGCAGAAGCGCGCAGGGAGGCGGCCGCGGGCGCCCTCGCTGCCGCTCTGCCCGCGCGCCTGGCCGCTGCCTCGGCTGCCTTCGCCCTCGGGCGAGGGCCCACGCCGCGGCAACTCCGCGTCGGCCTCGCCGAGGTGGGGGCCGCCGCCGGCGGCCGAGGCGGCGGGGTGGCGCCCCGCGCCCTCGCCGCCGGGAGGGCAGGGCTCCTGGGCGGCGGCCAGACTGGCGACTGCGCCCCACTGGAGCCGCGCCCCTGTGCGAAGGGGCCAGCGCGACGGCAGGTCCGCTGGGTTCGCCTCCGACGGCGTCCAGCGCAGCGCCGCGCTGATGCCGCCCGCAACGGCGAGGGCGGGCCACTGGCGGCAGATGCGGGCCATCCTCGGCAGCGAGGAGCTGCCCTTCGAGAGAGCCAGGGCGGCGACGAGGCTATCAGGGAGAAAGAGAACACGATGGCCATGCTGCTTCGTATCTCGAAGTGCATGTTTCAGGGCGCGTATCAGGGCTTTCCCTTCTGAGGCAGCGACGTGCTCCTCTCGCTCCCAAGACCCACTAGAGATGACAACCCAATCGCCCGAGACGCAGTCCAACGCACTCCACCTCCAGAGGCTCGAAGCCAGTAGTCTGCAAGTGGTCCGTCGCTGGAATTTTGAAGACATCAGGGCGACGAGGTTTCCGATTCGCGTCGATCGAGCTGTCGGACTTCGCGATGTCCAAGGGCTTCGCGGGGGCCTGCGAGCTACCGAGGTCGTTCGGCCTCGACGGCGACTCGGTGCCGATGAGGCTCTCGTTGGGCCCCGGGGGCATCGCGAGCTGCTCCCGAGGGGCCTTCGCGTTGGGGTCGCGGAAGCGCCGGCGTTCACGAGCTCGGCCGAGCTTCTGGGCGATGCTTTTATCGAACTCTCGCTCGCGCACCCCCCTGCCCCACTCGCAGGCGTCCGCGCGCGCGACTCGCCCCGGCCAGAGAAGATGGACAGCAGCGGCCCCATGACCATCAAGACGAAAGCGTAGTGCCCGACCACCTGCCTCACCTGCTGCGCCGAGACCTTCGGCATATCCAAGAGGGCCCGCGTGGCGAGGATCAGGCGCCGCGCCCTGCGCGGGGTCGGAGACGCTGACCCGCGCTCGCCGTCGATGACCCAGCCCAGCAGCTGCGCGTGCAAGGCCGCGCTCTCCTCCTCGTGAACGGGGGGCCCGCTCTCGCGCGGCGTCGCGACCATGTCGTTCTTCATCTGCTCGGTGGTGTCACGATCCAGCGAGAGCGAGGCGAAGTTGTCGACGTACTCGAGGTGGGCACCGCCAGCCATGCCTGGGCAGACCTGGCGGCCCACCACCCTCGTCGCAGCCGCCAACCCCGCCCGATCAGCAGCCGACTCCGACACCCGCTGACAGACGGCCAGCGCGCGGGCCCATCCCATGGGCAACACCGCAAGACGCGGCCGCAGCAGCCGAGGCTGCTCCTGCCCGTGGTCGGCCTCTCGCCCCAGCCACCGCGCGTCTATCGGCGGGGGCGCGAAGTAAGGCCGCCAAACGTGCGGAAGCTCTATGTTGTAGGAGGCGTCCGCGATGTCTGCAGAGGCCGCCCACGGGCTCGCGCCATCGGGCAGCTCGATCGCCGCCTGCGCCGAACCCGTGGCCAGGCGCACGTCCGCTGGGTCGCTGAACCAGAAGTTGGCGGGCCGCGCGTCCACGACGAGCCGCTGCCGCCCACTCTTCCTGGGCGCGCTGAAGAGACCCGCCTCATCCACCACCTCGCCGGGGTCGCCGACGAGGTCGATCACGCCGGCCTCCAGCAACCGAAGCACCGGCGTGGCGCACTGGCGACGGCCCCGAACAATCGGATCCATGTAGGGCTTCCTGGAGCCAACGCCCCACTTCAACTGCGAAGTTTCGGTTTTTGGCAAGACCTTATCCGAGATATCACGATAGACGGTATCAGAGACCTCGGACTCCAGGAGCCGCTCCAGCGAGACAGGACAGTTACCTGGAAGCGGTAACGAGAGCCGGGAGACGTCCATCGCCTCCGCCCTGGTCGACAGCATGCCGTCGTAGGACGCAGCAGCCCGGAGCTCCTGCAGGGCTGCCAAAGGCTGGAGGTCGCCCGGCAGGGGGCCCAGCTGAGAGACGGCGCCCGCGATGCGCGCCAGGCAGCGCTGCTGCGCCAGCGTCGCGTCGCCAAGCGGCAGCGAGCAGCCAGCCCCCGCCCCCCCGGCGCCGCTGAGATCGCTGAGCGACTCCACCGCTTGCCTGGCGAGCCACGGCGCGGAAGCGGCGCGGCGCGCCCGTCTCCGCATGCAGCGCGAGCCCCGCCCATCAGCCAGTCCGCCGGGGTCAGCGGCAGCAGGCGCCGGCAGCGGAAAGATGCCCCGCTGCCGCTCCGCGCCCGTGCCACTGCGCCTGCTATGAACATCCCCAGCAGCGCAGGCACACGCCGAGGTGGGCCCAGGTCCCGCAACGCCCGGAAGAGGCTGGGCCAGCACGCCCCTCCAGGCAACGTGCCATCATGACTTTGCGCCTCCGGCTTTGGCCCCGGGGGCGGCCTTCGCTTCTTCTCGAAGCTTCCGAACATTCTTCTTGAGCTGACTGGCGCGCTCGAGCTCCTTGCCAACCGCGTCGAGAAGCGCAGGGCAGACCATGCTGCTCGAGCGGCTGGAGGGACCTGTCCCGCCCATGAAGGCGCTGACCTCCTCCTGCGGCAACTTCTGCAGCGATGCATCCTGCTCGCGCTGCTTCCCCCCCCAGAAATGCTCGATGAGCTGCATCCTCCGCAGGGGCCTCTCGACGCCCACGAGATTCGCCGCGTTCACCTCGTCGACCGTCGCGAGGTCCCCCAGCACCGTGCTCAGCGCGTGGTGCTCCGCGACGCCATATAGAGCCGCTTCCGCGCCTTCCAACTCTCGCGATACTGGATGGGCCCCCCCATCGCGCAGCAGCCAGGACACGCGCCAGGCGGCCGAGCGAGGCTGCAGCACGAAGAGTGGATCCACCACCTCCCTCGCGGACTCGGTGGCGGAGAGCCAGCTGCGCGGGCCCACGCTGCCAGGGAGGCAAGCCGTCGTCCGCGGGTCGGTCCTCCAGTCCTCGAGGATGAAAGCCACCGCCGACGCGCCAGCGCCCAGCGTGAGGGTGCCGGGCCTGCCGGCCCTCGCCGCCAGCACGATGCCAGAGATCGGGCCGACCTGCACCGCCGCGCCGAAGCAGAACGACTCCACGTCCTCGGCCACCACCCACGCCCAGCCCGCAGGCGCCTCGCCGTTGGGGCCGAGAAGCGGCCCTCCGTCGTCCTTCCAGCGAGGCCCAGGCGGCGCGCCCACGGCGGGAGGGCCCCCCGCCGCGATGGGGGCCCCAGCGGCAGGCGCGGGCGGCGGGGCTGCGGCCGGGGGGGCGCCCAGCGGCACCACGGCGGCCGCGCCGACGGCAGGCGGCGGCGCCCCAGCCACCAGTGCCCCCGCTGCAGGCCCCCCAGCAGCCGGCACGGCGGCTGGCACCGCCGCCGCGGGCGCGGCCGCCCCAGGCAGCAGCCCACCGCTCATCGGGAGGAGCGCCCCTCCCGCAGGCAGCAGAGCTCCAGGGTGCCGCCGCGCGAACTCGGCGTCCGCCTCGGCGAGGGCCGCGGCGAGCCAGGCAGCCTCGCGAGCCGCCGAGGGCGCCCCCCCGAACCTGTAGGTCGACTCGGGAGCGATCCCCGGAGGGGGCGGCCACCTCGCCGCCGAGAAGCGCACCGCGGCGATGTCCGGCCCCGCAGCCAACAACCTCTCCGCGTACACCATGTCGTCGGGCGTGACGATGACGACGTCATCCGTGAACGCCAGTTGCCACGCCACCCTCTTCTGGTGGAAGAGCGGCGCGCCTGCCACGTTGTGCAGCACCCAGGCCCACGCTTCCGCCATTCGTGGCAGCCGCCACCACCAGGCGCGAGGGAGCCCCTCCAGCCCGCGCCGCGACCTTGCCCTCTGACTCGGCGGTGAAGCGGAGCGGCCCCCAAAGGCGCAGCGCCGCGATCGCGCCCAGGGCGCCGAACGCGGCCCCGGCAAGGCCTCCGGCCAGGCAGGCGAAGGCCACCGAGCTCGCAGTGGCGCCCACGGTCGCCCCAGGGCACGGCGGGCATGCCGGGCGCGCGGGGCAAGGCGGAATGTCGATCGCCGGGCAGCGTGCCACCCAGGCCTGCAGCGCGGGCACCCCCCAGCGGTCCAGAACTCCCAGCAAGCCCTCCGGGAGGCCCAGCAAGGGCATACGCCGCGGTCCGCCGCGGCGCTCAGCTCGAGAGCCGAAGGCTACGGAAAGCAAACTTACGGCCTCTCCCTCTCCCTCGAAAGGCATTCAACTTCAATAGAAAGTACCATCATCATCAGTATCATCATCATCAGCATCATCATCATATTCGTCGTCAGCATCACCATCAGACTTATCATCCTCATCATCGTCATCAACAACATGAACATCATCATACACGTTATCATGATCACCATCGTCGTCATCAACATCACTACCATCATCATCACCACCATACTCATCATCACTATCATCACCATTATCACCATCACCATCATCACCATAACCACCACCAATATCAGCATCATCATCACCATCACCGTCACCATCATCGTCATCATCATGATTTTCGTCATCATAACAATCGTCATCATCCTCATCCTCATCCTGATCCTCATCACCACCATCAGCATCATCACCATCATCAGCATCATCATCATCATTACCATCAGGACCATCACCATCATCATCATCCTCATCCACAGCATCCTCAGCATCAGCATCAGCATCAGCATCAGCATCATCATCATCATCATCATCATCATCATCATCATCATCATCACCATAGCCATCATCATCACCACCATCAGCTTGTGCACACCCCTCACACATTTGTTGGCCCCATAGAGAGCTCCACCGAAGGTCCCAGTGACACAGCCCGCATGCGTCCGCCCCACCCATTTCGACACACATCCCTCACACGTTTCGTGGCCGCACAGGGAACTCCACCGAAGGTCTCCGCGGTGAATTCGCATGCGTTCGCCCTACACATGTCGGTCCACCCGTCAGTTGCTCCGTGGCCCCAAATGGAGCTCCGCCGAGGGCCTCCGTGGTGATTTCGCATGCGTCTGCAGGACCCATGGCAGCACATCCCCTCACACGCGTGGTGGCCACATAGGGAGCTTTACCGAGGGTCTCCGTGGTGAGTTCGCATGCGTCCGCCCTACCGATGTCGGCACGCCCCTTGCACTCTTCGTGGCCCCATAGGGAGCTCCACCGAGGGCACCAATGTGAGTTCGCATGCGTCCGCCAGGCATATTTCGGCACGCCCCTCACACGCTTCGTGGCCCCATCGGGAGCTCCACCCAGGGCCCACGTGGTGAGTTCGCATGCTTCAGTTCGGTCCATGTTGGCACACCCTCAGACGCTCCGTAACCCCGTAGGGAGCTCCACCAGAAGCCCCAATGACAAGGTCCACATGCCCCTCCCCGCCAACCGCATGTCCGTGTCACACGTTTCGTGGCGCTCCATCGAGGGCCCGAGTGGCAAGGCATATGCATCGCCCCGTCCACCGCATGTCCATTCCAGCACACCCCTTACACATAGGGAGCTCCACCCAGGGCTCAAGCGTTTCGTGGGTCCACGTCGGCAGACCCTTTACACGTTTCGTGGCAGCTTCACCGAAAACACCAATGGTAAGATCCACATGTGGCTCCCCGCCCACCGTATGCCCACGTCGGCAAACCTCTCACACAGTCAAGCGCCCCCCCCCCGCGCATTGCGGCACAACCCACACTCGTGTCGTCGCCCCATAGGGAGATCCACCCAAAGCCCCAATGGTCGGGTCCACATGCTTTTCCCCGCCCATTTCGGCACACATCTCGCATGTTTCGTGCCACATACAGAGCCCCTCCTCTTTCATCCCACGTTCCTTGCAGTGCTCACAATTGCATATGGCGGGGTCCTCCACCAGGAAGGATTCCCCAACCCTCCTGTGTGTTGGGTCCTCGTTTTGAATCCACAGCGCCGCGCGTCTCCTTCTTCTCCTTCTCCTCCTCCCCCTCCTCCCTCCACATCCTCATCATCATTGCCTTTCCTCCTCGCACTTCGGCACACCCTTCACACGTTCCGTGGCCCCATCGGGAGCCCCAGCGGAGGCCACAGCGACAGCCATTTCGGCGCAATCCTCACACATTTCGCGTCCGCATGGTTACCCGCCAACTTTCGGCATACCCCTCACACGCTTCGTTGCCTCATAGAAAGCCCCACCTGAGGCCTCACTGGCAGCACCCGCATGGTTGCCGTCCCAATTTCGGCGCACCACTCACACGCTTCGGGGCCCCAATGGGAGCTCCAACGAAGGCCACAATGGCAGCTCGGCGCGCACCCCACACGCTTCGTGTCCCCATAGGGAGCTGCGCCGAACGCCCCTGAGGCAGATTCGCATGGTTACCCGCCCCATTCGAGCGCACCCTCACCCGTTTCGTGACCCCATCTGGAGCTCTGCCGAAGGCCCCACTGGCAGTGTTCGCATGGTTACCCGCCCCATCTTTGGCGCATCCCTCATACGTTTCGTGTTCTCATAAATAGGAAGCTCCACCGAAAGCACCCATGGTTGCGTCTGCATGCCAAGGCGGCCCCGCCCCATGTCCAGCAGACACCTGACACGTTTCGTGGCCCCATCGGGAGCTTCACCGACTGCCCCAGTGGCTGCGTCCGCATGGGTACCCGCCCCATTTCGGCGCATCCCTCGCACGTTTCGTGGCCCCTCCGCCGAAATGCCCAATGGCTGCGTCCGCATGCGGCCCCGCCTCATTTCGGCAGACCACTCAAACGTTTCATGGTCCCAAAAAGAGCTCCACCGCCCCACACCCGTTTCGGCAGACCCCTCGCAAGCTTCGTGGCCCCATAGGGAGCTCCGACACGGGGCGGGGCCGCATGCTGACGCAGTCACTGGGCACTTCGATGGAGCCCCTCTATGGGGCCAAGGAGCGTGCGAGGAGTCTGCCGAAATGGAGCGGGGCCGCATCCAGACGCAGCCATTGGGGCCTTCGGTGGAGCTCCCTACAAGCACGTGCCTAGTGTTGCTAGTGACATTTGAGTGAGCGTATCATATTGAGCAGCTCTTGTGTCCACCGTCATGATCTTAACCTCGGTGCGTCCGTAGCCGCTTTGGCTCCAGTGGCGCGCTTCCAGAGCGCGGCATTGCGCCGGTTCCAGCACAGCAGCGCAAGCGCGATGCAGTCAAGAATCTTCGGCGTCGACCGACGAACGACGATTAGCAACAACGAATAACCACTGCAACAACCGACTAACAACGACTGGGGGGTTGAGTCGGGATCCGTCTGGGGCGCTTGGGAGGGTTCAGTCGGGGGCACTTGCTGTTACATTCGGGGGTTCATTCGCGGTTCATTCGGGCTCATTCGGGTTCATTCGGGTTCATTCGACCCCAGCGGATGGTCTCAGAACTATAGTTTTTTGGCAGGATTCGAAGCCCGAGGTAGTAAATTTGCATGCGACCGCCGCTCCAATGAATATATACATTATATATGTATGTATATATCGGAGGTGCGGGGGTGATATCGAAGTGAAACGGAGAGCCCCCCTACCGGGAAATCGGTTTCGGTTTCGTGTTCGTGCGTGCCGTGCGTGCGGGCGAGGCGAAACTGCGTGGGCGGGCGAGAAGAAAGTCTCCTCCGGCTGAGGCGCGGCCGGACCAAATGATTCCTTTCCGGGGGCCGGTGGCCCGCGCTGTCCCGCCGGTGTCCCGCCTGCGGCTGAGGCGCTGCCGGACCAAATGATTCCTTTCCAGGGGCCAGTGGCCCGCGGTGTCCCGCCGGTGTCCCGTCGGTGTCCTGATAATGATGAGATGATGATGATGACGATGATGATGATGATAATGATGAGATGATGATGATGATGATGATGATGATGATGATGCTGATGATGATGATGATGATGATGATGATGATGATGATGGTGTCGATGATGTTGATGAGGATGAGGATAGTGATGGTGGTGATGATGATGGTGTCCCGATGATGATGATGATGATGATGATGATGATGATGTTGACGATGTTCTCGATGATGCTGATGATGCTGATGATGGTGGTGATGGTGGTGTCCAGGGGATGATAATGTTGATGGTGATAGTGATGCTGATGATGGTGTCCTGGTGGTAATGATGATGTTGATGATATTGATGATGCTGGTGATGATGAGATGGTGATGAGATGATGCTGATGATGAAGATGCTGATGATGATGGTGTCCCGATTATGATGATGATGTTGATGATGATGCTGTTGTTGATGATGGTGATGGTGATGATGGTGTCACGATGATGATGATGTTGATGATGACGATGACGATGATGGTGTCCAAATGATGATGCTGTTGATGATGAGGATGAAGATGAGGTGATGATGGTGATTTTGATGATGGTGGCCCGCCCAATAATGGGAATGATGATGCTGATGTTGATGATGATGATGATGGTGCCCCGATGCTGATGATGATGGTGATGATGATGGTGACGATGATGATGGTGTCCCGATGATGATGATTTGATGATGATGGTGTTGCTGATGATGATGGAGTCCCGGTGATGATGATGTTGATGATGCTGTTCATGATGATGATGATAATGATGATGGGATGGTGATGATGGTGTTCCGATGATGATGATGATGATGATGATGGTGTCCCGACGATGATGATGCTGATGATGATGGTGACGATGATGGTGCCCCAATGATGGTGATGGTGATGATGGCGATGATGTTGATGATGATGGTGATGAGGCGATGATGATGACGGTGTCCCGATGATGATGATTATGATGATGATGTTGATGACGTTGATGACGATGATGTTGTTGATGACGATGATGACGTTGATTGTGATATCGATTGTGGTATCGAAAGTGAGATCGATTGTGGGACCGAATGTGAAACCGATTCTGAGATCAACAATGAGATCGATAGTGAGATCGATTGTAGGATCGATAGTCAGATCGATTGTGAGATCGATCGAATGAAATAGATCGAGTGAGACCGATCGAGTGAGATCGATCGAGCGAGACAGATAGTGAGATCGATAGTGGGACCGATCGAGTAAGACGTTGGTTCCTCCCCCCCCCGAACCTCCTTATCACCCGAAGGGTGGTCGTATAGGTGTATATATATATATGACTAAAGACGGAACCCCCGTCTCC